TGTGTGTGTGTGTGTTTGTGTGTGTGTGTGTGGTCAGACCAATCAAATGATGACATTCTTTCTGAAACCATGGGGTCCATGCCTTCTGTACAAAAGAGGATGGACATTTCAGTGATCTGTGCACAGTTCCACAGATTGCCTCTCTGTTAGTATAGGGGTGCATTAGTGCTTCTGTTGAGGGCAGCGTACACAACTGGAAAGGCTCCATAAATGCAGAGTACTGTATATACAGGTTTAAGAGCAACACATCTCCCTTCCAACAAAGGACTGTTGACAAGCTATAGCCCTACATCAGACGAGGGTGGGACAGTCACCTCCAACAGCTGGTCTCCTGAGTTCCTAGACATTTACAGACTGCAGTTAAAAGAAGCGGGGATGCTTCACAGTGGTAATCGTACTCCTGTCCCCACTTTTTTGAGATGAGTTACTGCCCTCAAATTCAAAATGACCTCATTTTCTTTCCTCAAAACGACAACTTTTAAAACATCTGTTTACTTTAAAGTAGATTCTATTGGGAATAAAATACGTGTTTGTGAGATGTGCAAATCATTGCATTCTGTTGTTGTTAACATTTTACATGTCCCAGGTTTATTTATTCATTCATTTATATTCAGAATTGGGGATGTAAACCCTATGGCAGGCTGTTCATGTGTAATCCGTTTAGTAGTGATACAAGAGCCTTTATAATGACCATGCTGATGTCATGCAACTTTGCAAAATGATTTGAAAATTCATAATGCAGGCATTTTTGAAAAAAAAAAAAAAAGTATAAATACGAGAAAAGTCAACATTCCCAACGAAGAAAGCCCCCACGATATTCAAACACAACGCATTTGTTGTTGTTTTTAATGTCAGCACAAAATGAAAAGACAGTGGGTGGGAGTTGATGAGTCTATGTTTGCATAGCCATAAACAAAAGTAAGACAGATCTAAATCAACAGCTCTGACTGCATGAAGCAGTCTGTTCGTCTGTCACTGTGTTAATAATAAAGTGGTATTCTAGGAGTAAACAATAGCAGGAAACAGTTGTGGCTCAGTACCTTTTTTTTTCTTCGTTACTTTGGATCTTTGCTACATGTGGACAGAGTTTAACAGTCTCCCTTTTGTCAAGTCACACTACAGACATTTTCAACTACATAAATAAGGTCCATTGTTTTGCTGCCTGGGCCCCTCCCCAACCCCACGTTACCAGAAAACATAAACATGTGCATGAAAATGTTGTAATACTGCATACGTTTGGATTATTGGGAATACTTCCAAGACACATTTACACAAATCAACAAGAAATGGGGTAGAAAAACATTTTACACAAGGTCATATGTCTCACAAAAAGGTGCAATCTGTAACAGTCAAAAGTGCTCTCCCTGCTGTGTAATGTTGTTTTTTTTATTTTTATTTCCATATATCTGTGACTGCAACGTTAAAAAGCTGAAAATCTTAAAAAGGTGCAAATTCTACACAAATAAAACAGTTACCTTAGTTCAAAAATGTGTGATAAGGTATATCCTGTGTTTAGTCTGTAAACATACCACAATAATAAACTCGAAAATGACAACTTACAGATTACACCTTGTAGAGTGGCAATAAGTTCAATGAAAAAAGAAACAAATACATAATACTGTCTCAAAGACAAGGGGAAAAGAATTCCAGTGACATACGTAGTGTTTTTTGTTTTTTTTTGTTTTGTTTGTTTCACTCACCAGAGATCATGGTGCAGAAATTGTAAAAATAAATACATAAATACATGGATAATCCATCCATACGTACACATTGTATCATAAAATAAAAGAATTATAAGATAATTATAAAATTCATATGTACAAATGCATAGTTCATATGCATTTCATGGAAAGATGCAGAGAATAGACCTTTCTCTCTTCATCAGGATGATGGGGTGTGTAGTGTCGGTGTGTGTAATGTGTGTGCTGTGATGCGAGTGGCACTTGTACAAAAATACGAGAGTTACAGATCAGTTTGCTCTGTGTTGTTTCTTCATATCACACTTCTACAGTCAGTTGGCAATAAATGTTCACAGGTCAAAAATTAAGAGGTACGTGTCCAGGTGTGTCTGTGGCTTCCAGTGCGGGTGTTCGGAAGAGTTGTGTGAGCGCAAATACTGATGAGATGAGCACAGTGCAGCGTTTGGCTAGTAGCCTCACTCCATCCGTCTCTCCTTGACCCTGTCCAGACCCAGACTTACTCCCAACTGCAGCACCAGTTCCAGCTGTTTCAACAGCTCCAACAAACTCTCGATACAGACCGACTATCTCTTTTAGCTTTTCCATAGGCTGCTGCCCATCATCATCATCACCCCTGCAGACCTGCCTTGCTTTTTGGCAGACGTTACAACCAGGACAGGGATTTGTTTGCAGGCAGGCTGCTGTCAGCTGAACCAGCGCACTGAAGCTGTTGGATAAAGAACGTAGTGCTTCATCCGGAGCCCAGCCGACACGTGTAGCTCGTTGACACCCAGATGCCAATCGTCGAGCCTCTGCTTGGAGAAGTCTCCTCTCAGGCTCTGTCATGGTGGCAGGACTTGTCCCAGTACAATTTTGAATTCCCATCGACAAAGTATTGTCTTCAGTTGCATTGTGATTTAGGTCAGGCCCTATTTTTACACCTGTGCTTTCTAATTTTGAACCTTGTTTGAACTGATCACGGGATTCCCTTTCTAACACTAAAATAAGCTGATCTATATCTTCACGTAGAGAAGCAAAACCTCCCTTTAACCCTCCATAGTTCTTGTTGGTGAGGGAACGAAGAGGACCACCAAGTGAAACTGTGGATGAGCCTGGACACGAAACAAGAGGACTCAGTTCAGAAGATGTGGTGGAGAACGTGGACAGTGGACGTGGGTTGTCCCTCAACATAGACAGTATATTGGGTTTTGAAGGAGGTGTTGTTGGAGAAGGGGCGGTGGCAGTTTGGTCAGGTTTGGGGCGTATGCGGCGGGAAAACTCATAGACAGTGAGCTCCTCATCAAAGCTAATGCCATCCTCAGTGTCTCCACTAAAGCAGTTGGCATAAACTGTGCGACAGCCACAAGCCTCCCGATGTTGCTGTGGCGGAGTAGTGTCTGCTGTTGAGGAGGTTGGTGAGTCACCTCCAATCTGCATGCTAGTAACACCTCCCAACCCCACTGCTGAATGTGGACGTGACTGTGGCTGCTCTGATGAAACACCGCCACTGTGGAAACTGTTTCCTCTAAAGCTCAGATTAGGGTGTGAGCCGTTCGTTCCATTGGCCTTTTTCATATGTGAACTTACTTCCTGAGCCTCTTTGATAATTGCTATGACAACCTCAGCTCCATCATCTAAAATGTTTCCTTTACTAACATATTTTAAGGCAACTGTCTCTTTGTCCTTGACGGGGGTTTTGTTTAAATCTGATAAACCACTTGCAACAGACAAACCAGACCCAAAGCCAGATGTGTCCCCATTAATGGAGCTTGTGGAGGGATAGTCAGGGGTTCCTAGGATCTCCTGGGAACGTGTCATGTACCAAGGCAAGGATTGGATCTTCCCTCTCAAAGCAGTGGCTGGTAGTCTGCCTCCAAGACTGGAAGAACTAGTTCTCAGGTCAGACCGTGAACCAGATAGTCCAGGTTCTTTACTTTCTAGGTCCTCAACACCTTTAGAGTTGGCTGAGCTAGGTGAGGTGGTAATAGTGAGTGGTGTGTCCGTATCTTTTGGTGATAGGTTCTCATGGCTCAAAGAAACCCTCCGAGGTCCTGACTGGATGCTGCCATTGCGGCTGCTCCAGGGATGGATTCCATTTGGTGGACAGACAGCATCTTTAAAGATCCCTTTGCTTGGGTCAGTTGGAGAAACAGGAGAGCTAGCAGGCAGAGACAATGGGTGGAAATTGATGGTAGAAGTGGGTTTGGGTGGGACTGGAGGAGGAACAGCTGGCTTTGTACCTGAATTAGAGCGAGAGACCGTAGGCGGGTTTGGTGCTTTTCTTGTCAGTATGTTAGCGCCACTGATTTTCCTTTCAACTTTTGAAGTTTCCTTTTCATTAGGAATCAGTTCTTTATCTTTGGAAACATGTGATCCATTTTCACGAACAAGATTTTTATTTTGTTTTGGGCTGTTTTCTTGTCGTTTTGCCTTTTCCTCTGGTTGCAATGTTGTGGCTTGTGGACACTGTTTACTATTCCTCACCGCAGTGATCAAGGATGATGACGGAGACAATCCACCCAATGTGACAGACTTAAATTCCATTGTGTCTGGTTCCATTTCCAAGAGTTCAGAAGACAGATGTCCAGAGGCATCCCCATTGCATTGGGCATATGCTCTTCCATGTTGCGGTGACTTGGGGGGAACTATCTGAGGTTTGGGAGGCAGGTGGGGCTTAGGTGCCAGTGGGGGTTTGATCTTAACTTCAGGTTTTTTTGAAAAGCTAGGTTGTTTGTTGATGAGTTCATTTTCTGGGTCTTTTAATATCTCTGATTCTTTTGTAGTTTTATGGGACTGAGTTGTATTGGCACGAGAAGATGATGGTTCTTTCCCAGCTATTGGTTGACCATTCCAGGTTCCACTCAAACGATTAGCATTTCGCCGATCAGCTAGTTCAGCATCTGTGAGAGACAGAGAAATTTTAAATTAAAAGAAGCAGAGAAAACAGCTTTTGATAAATGCAAATATTCCCTTCTCCTTTAATAGCATCCATTTGTAAGAACAGACACTGTGACTGCTTGAAAAACAATGCCAACATAAACACTGATGACTTTTTTTTTTTAAATCATTGACCTGCAAAGTTGTGTCAGATAAACTATAACAAACCTGACAGGTCAGGAACTGGTGGAGTAAATCTCTCCCGTGCATCAAAGAACTCATCTTCTGAATCGGAGACATCGTCCTTTACCAAAAGTGCTGGTTTGGGGTTGGGTGAAGGAGTGAGAAATAGACCCTCTTCATCCTTAGAAAGGCGATGCTCAGCTCGTCCTGCTTTATTTCCAGGAATTGAACTTGTTCTTACTGGAACTTTGGGAGGAGTCTTCTTCTTTCTCTTAATGGGCAATCTTTCAAAAGGTGTGCTGTCAATCATTCTCAGATCTCTTGAACTAGGTATTTTAGAAATGCGTCTGAGTGTCTGGACTCCCGAATCTTCCTCCTCCTCATCATCATCATCACTTGTAGCCCCAGAAGGGCTAGACAGGAAATCAGCCTTGGAGAGTTCAGCAAAGCAGAGACATGAGTTATCATTGCCACGGTAATTCAAGTTGGTGGGTCGCATGGGCCCTTGACGTTTTGGCTCCAGGAGGTAAAGGTGGTGACTGTCCGAGTCTGAAAGATCCTCGCCTGTGCGTGGTCCACGAAGAGGATCTAAGCGAGAGGGGGATTTAGCTGAAGTGCTGCTGTCTTCAAGGGCAGCACTCAAAGAACTGCTGGACAAGCTGGAGAAACTGCTGGTGACCCGTGGGTCAGTGTGGTACCAGCTGTTCATTTCTTCATCCGTGACTTTGAATTTACGCAAACCACTTCCTGTTGCTCCTCCATCCTCTTCACTCTCATTTTCTTTGCCCTCTGTTGTCACAATTATTTTAACTTCCTGTTTGCCTTTGTACTCTTCTCTCTCTCTCCTCTCTTCCTCTTTCCTCTTCACTTCTTCCTCTCTCCTCCTTTCCTCCCAGTCCTGACTTGCTGGGTCTGAACCTTTGTAGCTTTGAGAGTCCATTGGGTCATCTTCATCTGTGGAGTCATCTGAGTCACTACAGCAGCGAGATACATAACCTAAATACCAGACAAACACAGCAAGGAGTGTTTTAGTACACTTGTAGAAGAGAATCATGATTGAATGTGATTGTATGAAATAACAGTCTCTCTTAATCGTACCCATACTGGTTGGTGATATACATCAACATGTGATATGATGAAATAAAAGTCTATCAAAATGCCAAAACCAGAAAGTGATTGTTTTAAGCAAAACTGTTTTTGCTCACTTGATAGGGATTCATAGCACACGCCCTCTATTACAGCGAACTTCCCACACACACCTTCTTCAGCAGGAATCCGGTGCACCCTCACTTTTGGGCGCCCCAGACGGAAGACATTAACACTTGGATCCACCAGGAGCTTGCAGTAACCTCCCAGTAGACACCCTAAGTCTTTGGCTGCCTGAGAATCCATCAGTAAGGCAAATGGCTGAAAAAAGGGAGGGCATTGTAGAAGATAAGGTAAAGCAGTAGTGATTAAAGTCAAAGGGAAAGAAAGGAAAGGTGAAGGAATGGGAGAAAGAGGGGGACATGGTCATCTTTGTGTCAGTGAATTAGCAATTCATATACCGGTAGCTATCACCAATTCCCTTAAGCTTTGTATTGTTGCACTAGACGAACATTACTTGACCTACATTTATCATAGTATAAACCCTTGTGCAAAGATAGCATGGTGAGTGCAATTCTATTTTTGAAATACCTTTATGAATAATCAAGTATCTCAGTGAATGATCATGTGCATCCTGTCTTTCATACCTTCATGTCATGTAGTGAAATGCGCAGTAGGCTAACTTTGTCGGATTCTGATAGCAGCTCCACTCGGCTGATGTTGCTGAACTCAACCAGCGTAGAGATCATGTTGAGCTTGTGGTTGATGACCTGGCTCATCCCATACTTGGCTCCAACTAGCAGGCTAACCAGCATTTCCCTGTCCTGAAGCTGAGTTAAGGGGTAAAGCAGAAAAAATGTTTATTGTTTATAATGTTCATGTTTCAGCTATTCAAAAACTACACCTAACTCTTACCATCATGGTAGCTGTGTAAGACCGTCCTCCAAAAGAAATGAGCTCTCCAAGCTGAGTGAGGTAGGCCAATCGGGCCTGCGTGGCTGATATAACCTAAATTTGACATAAAGGAAAAACTAGTAAGACTGGAACTGTTATAAAACTAACCTAATTTTTTCAACCACCTTTTTAGTTATGTTCCCACCCACCATTCAACATTCCCCAAACCTGCTTCCATTCAACCACTAACTCCTAGGAGATTTGCAGTTGCTGTAAACTTCAGCTAAAAGTGTCGTAAAGCCACTACAAAGCTGCCACTTTCTGTTTTGCAATGCCTTTCAGAGCTTCCCTACACTCAGCTGTCAATCCTCATCTACCTTCTGCCGTGGTTCTAGCAAAGACTGGATCTTTTTGAGGTGGTAGCTGATTGCCTTCCTCAAGTCCCTTTCCCTCATGTTGCTCAGCAGCGTAGGAGAGATGAAGCTGTCCAGGCCCAACTCCTTCCTGCCAACACCACATACACAAAAGAATAACAATATTGAAAACATTAGCGTGGTGGCTGCTAAAACAAAGAGGTAACACTTTTCATTTAATACCAAAGTAATAAAAAGTTTCCATAAAGGTGTTGTTGTAATGTAGAACCATTCAGTGTATGTTACTTTGTAGTTTAGAAGGAAAAAATACAGCTAAGTTCATTAAACAGCTAGCTTTAGCTAATGTTAGCCTCACACAGAAGCTAGTTTGGTATGTTTTTCCTCACATCACAGCAAACCTCTTAAATTTAACTTAAAATGTGGAACACTTTTACATACATAACTACCGGTATTACAACTTGTCCAAGTCCATTCATAGATTATCAAATGAACACGGAGTAAAGAGTGGGCGTGCAAGGCTTTAGCACTTTTCCCCAATTCATTGTGTGAGTGTTAACTATAACAACCTGTCCAAGCATTTAGCAGCATGTGGTGTTATTAAATACATTATTCTGCTAACATGGAAAACTACTACAGCGGACAGAGCCCAGGATACTGTATTAACCTTTACATTTTATTAATTTTCTGCTGGTGAACCCAAAGAGTCTTTGCCTAAGATTAAGATAAGCTGAAGATAGTTGAACACACAATTCAAAACCCAGAGAGACATGCATGCAGAGGTATGAAAAACCCCAATCTCATAGCTCACAATAATCTGTACACGCTGATATCAATGCCATTGTAAACATAGTGTTATATTCCAATTAAATTTTTTAATATAAAGTCAAATACATATAAGTTTACAATGACAGTAACCTTTTTTCTTCTCAGTGTCATTAGTAGTGATCTTACTTTATGTAACTTTATTTTCATCGCACTTGCCACTAGGTGTTACCAAAGTCCTCATTGAAATTGGCTGGTTGGGTTGGAAGAGTCATTAAGTTGTAAGTTAGAGCTTTCAAAACAAATAGTTTTAATTTGGAAATCCCCTTTCCCTTTGAAATAAATCGCCCAAGAACATTTTTTCACATGTAGAGAACATTTCAATATGTATGGAAAGATTTGTGCCTGTAAAACAAAAGACACACACCAAAAAAGAGTGTTTTCGTGAAGATCAGTTTAAAAATGCTAAAGCAGAAACAGCTGTGAGTAAAACTAAACATGCTCCTGTAAAGGTATGTGTGCAAATGATAGAAACTGATTTTTATGCTGCAAGTTGACTGAACAGAGGAAACTCAGTCATAAATCAAGTTGTCCAAAAGCAGAGCAGATGGTCCTGTTTTGTTCAACTCTGGTGTAGATTATGTATAAATACAAAAGATGACTAGAATTTGCATTTGTAAAGATTGAGTCACGTCTTATGGAAACTTTGAGCACTGACTTTTTAGCACAATTTTCCACTCAGGATGTGTGATCAGACGTTCACAAAAATATTTGTGTCTTGTATTTGTGCACCACTTTTCCTGCACACAAAATGACAGAAATGTGCAAAAGTCTAAAGATGAAAAAAATGAAAATACTTCTCTGGTGTTGTGTCAGGTCTTTGCTGCATATTTGTATTTATTTATTAAAGACACGACTTTCAGATGCTGTTCATCAAATCCATAAACAGATTTTTAAGGTTTAACACAACATTTTTTTGTTCTCTCTTGTTTGCGTTTGTCATTTTTTAAGCATGTTGTCATGATCAAGTACAAAGAACAGTTTAAAAATTTGTGACAATGCAGCTTTTAGAACTACTGATCAAAGCCACTAAAAGATTACACAAGTCTGCTTTCTTTGAAACAAACTATACAGAAATTATGGGTGTTTTTTCCACAGTACTGTATTTATGAATGCACTAAAATAAAACTTGTAAAAGTTGCCTTGGGTAAATTGTCCTTTGGTGAATTCTCCTGACAGGAAATGGCACAAAACCTTACTCCTGTGCTCACCTGTCTTACCAGTGGAACACCCCATAAACAAATTGCATTACCGTACATAGAGTTATATTTTTACAACTGAATGCCAATTTTTTCCACTAACCTAAAATCAATCAATTTAGGGATAACAGATTGTTCCTAATGAGTAAAGGGGTGTTTATAAGTTGGTGTACAATCAGTTAACAGCTAAAACAAGTTCATAGACATAAAACATTTCAATTTCAACAATAGATTAGGTTTTAGTGAGCGCTTTTATCCCAGACAAATTACAGTAATTGCTGCAGCAGCGGAGCATCTCACTCAGGGGTCTGCGGCCTTTACGATCAAAAGAGACATTTCTGCCCCTTTGTTCACTAAATTAAACGTGTCCGAAGCCGCAAAACCTGCTACAACTGGGATTCTCAACTGGTGGCCCACGGACCACTTTAAGTTTGTTGGAGGGTGCTTTTCTGGACAGTAGGGGTGATTTTATAAAACGAAAAATATCTAATGATTTTTAACATTTATTGATATTTTTACAATCTAAGACAAAATAAAAGACGAGATTCTTGTAAAGAAGAAAAAAATAATATAGTTTTTGCCCAGTTTCTAAAAACTAAAACAATAAGCTATGCATTCTTATGTGATTTTTTTTTTATTGTAGAAAAATTACGTATCCTACTTTGAATAAATAAAGCGTAAAGTGAAAGTGACTATGTTTTACTCCTTGTAATGTTTCTAGTATTCATATATTTGCAAAATAAATGACAGGAAAACTGCTAAAATGTGCCATTTTAGTTGTTGTTATAAGAACCAATAAAATTCAGTTTTATGTCAGTTTTGGTCAAAGATTGAAAGAGTCGCTGCAGAGGGAGCAAAGAGCCACATGTGGCTCCAGATCCGCAGGTTGCAGACCCCTGTATAATGCAAGCTTCAATAAAAAAAGTCAACACACAGCAGTGACCCTTAAAGTTTAACCCTAAAATGACTCCACTCACACACACACGACTCACGTTATGCTCTTGATAGACGTCCGGGTCTGTCCACAGCTATCTAGTCTCTCATGCATATGCAGGGCAGCCAGGCGGAGCGCAGTGTTACACTTCATCTCCACAGCAAAACGCTCCTGCAGCACGTCTCCGACACTCTGCAAACACAAACAACCACAAATAAACGCATGCCGGCAGTACGTATAGACACACACCATCAACTGAAACGCACCGCATTTTTGTTTCAACTTTTATACTCTTCTAACAGAAAATGATACAACAACTAAACCAACTCTGGGAACCCCACACTACCAAGAAAAAAACAAGCGCAGCAGGATGGGAAGACTGCTTTTAAAGCAATAAATCAGCATGACATAAGTGGTGCTCCAGCTGCTTTGTTGTGTGCTGAAAATATGCACAGACTGAAGATGACTTGGCATATATTTATTGTACAAAGCTGAGCCCCTTCAAAGTGCTGACTGTTTAAAAGAGGAATGTTAATGTTTATAAATGGTTTAAAGGAGCACAGAGTTTAAATAAGCCAATATCAAGCCACAATAAAAATGATATCAGATTAGGATCAGTTTGAAATGACCAGAAAGAACAAAAGGAAACTTAGTTCAGTTGCTATTTTTGTGATCCATAAGGAATCATTCAAAATCAGGCTCCTGATAAGCTTCTCTGACCTGTAAAAAGAGGTACTCAAAGGTCATGGGGTCATCCTGCAGCAGATCCATGGGGTCCTTCGGAACAAAACAAACCCTGAACAGACATCTGTAATCATGCGAGTCCTTTTTCTGCACCACCTGGTGGAGACAAAAGATCAACTTAGCCTTGAATCGTAGCCACGTTCATGTGTGGAACTGTGTGTGCGTTCCTCACCTTTTGTATGAGCTCATCTTCATGCAGCAGCAGGAGTTTGGTGATGCTGTACTGTTGCTCTAGGACAAGGGCAAAGTACTCAATCGCCCGGATGGACAGTTTATCCTTCAGAGTCAGAACAATGTCCTGGAATGATGAAAAAAATAACACATCAGGAAACATTTTATCCCAGTCTGCTCATTCCAGATCGACCGATTTGACCCATTCCTCATCAGTTTACCTTAAACTGAAAATATAAAGTTTAAATCCAAATAGAAAAGAAGCAAAAGAAGGGATTATGAAGAGCATTAATTCAGCTTACTGCCCAAAATCCAAATATCCATTGATAATCCAATGGTAATTTGGGATTTATTTTTGTACAAATCTAAGCTACACCAAAATGCTTTAACTGTATAAATGAGAACCAAGGTCAAAAGAAATGTGATGGCATAGTGGCTCATTGGGGTCACCATGGTAACCACACACCTGTAACTCTCACTCTGACAGTAAACTGAGTGAAAGGCAGACAGAAACGCGGAGTAAAAAGTAAGGATCGGACAAACGATTACTGTGCAACAACTGTAGTAGTACTGCAAAAGCTCCTGAACTGCAAGTGACAAAAGTGTGTGATTATCATGCACACAGTTTGTATGTGTTTACAATGTTTTGTGCAGGAAATATGACAAGTTAAAAAACAATTAATTTTAAATTTTGAAAAGAGAATTCATAACAGGGAAGTCAAGAGCTTGGATGTGTAAAGTAAAGTACTATTTGCTGCCATCAATGTATGTTCCCAATCAACGACGAAATTAGTTCTCTGCATTTAACCTATCGCACCTGGGATACACCCAGGTGGAGCAGTGGACACCTATGTAGGCACCCAGGGAGCAATTAGGGATTAGGTGTCTTGCTCAGACACCACAACATGTGGGAATGACTGGGGATCGAACCTGGGACTTCCGGGTCCCGAGTCGGCTGCCCTACCTCTACCCCACTGGGCACTCTTGAGGGAATTTGAGAGACAACGACTAGTCCTAATGCAGTGAAAGACGCACTGAGTAAACCAAGACAAAACTATCAACGTTTTGATGCATAAACTGCATAGGAAGTTGCAAAATGTTTGGAAAGATCAGTCAACACAAAGACATGTGGCTTTTGTCCATGTCCTACCATGTAATACAACCAAAACCATGTGGCACACTTTCCCAACTGAGATGCATGTTTTGGCATGCGTGTTTTTATAGGTTTTTCCAAAGCAAAGCAAGGAGAGGGGTTATGAATCATAACTGTTGATGAAAATGAAAAAATGATGGGTGAATAGTGATAAGGGTGCTCCAGTGCTTAATAAAGCAGTCAAGAAAACAATTAAACTGAACCCACTGGTGGTGATCACTTCAGCTTCAGACTGTAAGCAACTCCAAAATCTATTCAGCACTTCCTCCAGGGAAGATGATCTACTCGTGCTTGATCTCATACATAAAACTAGTACTGACTCGTGTGAAACTGATCAGTTATGCAGGTTTCACTTGAGCCTGTGAGCTGCAATATGCATTGTCTTTTTTTATTTCTAGGTTCATCAAACAAGAAGCTGCTGATTTTTTTTTTAACCTTCCATTACATGTTGGGTTGTTCGTTGAGGGAAACGGGGGAAAAAAGCTTATTTTTCTCCAGTTTTTTTTTTTCACACGTTGAACAACAAAAACTTCCTTTTAATAAAATGTCAGTGGATTTAGCCAACACTGTGCATGTATTCTATTGTTAAGCCTCAAACATCAGCAGACAGTCAGAACTTGTAAAGTATGGAGACAGAATCTCCTAAACGATCATCTTGGGTCTACAAAACTGTTTCCATCAGCCCTCCAGATCCAAAAGCCCCAAATATACCTTCACAGTAGTGGTAATGTCGAATTTGAAGGCCTTGGTCTGCCCATTCTCAAGATATACTTTTAGGACGTTGGGGAGGAAGAGGAGAGAGTTTCCCTGTTGGAAGAAAAGTAAATAGAATAATAAGAATATAAAAATTAGAAAATCATCTTTGAAGATGCTGCCAGATAAGAACGTTGTACAACTGTGAGACAAGTCAAGATATAAGTCTATCGTGAACGTTTTTACTGTGTTCTTTCTGTGTCAGGTAACATGTTTATTACCTGAGTGTGCCCATTGACCACCACCTCCTCGGCGAAGCGCACTTTAACTGGATTACTCCTCAGGCGAGCTCTCTTCTCTGCCGACATGATGGACGACTTTGGATTCTGCAACACACGTGCATGTCAAACAGCAAAAGGGCAGGTGCGCAAGCGCGTGAGCATTTTGCACCATGCAGTTTTTGAAAAGTGTGGGGAGGGGCCCACAATGAGAGGAGATGCAAGCGGACAGTCACATGCTCAGAAATAAGCAGCTTATGTTGAAATGAATGATGGTCTAATAACTCTACGTGATGGTGGCTTTGAGTTCAGGCCATGCGTCTTCTTTTTGTACTCACTGTCATGTGCCGCAGGATAGTCACATTGATACAGTCCTCCAAGTCTCTGGTGGAGAAAATCACAGGCATTAACGCACATCTTTCTGTATCTCTGTGTCTAGCTATCGTTTAGGCAAACTGCGCTTTGACCTTTGCATCTGCTGTACTGTGCAAATGTTTTAAACCATCCCCTCGTTGTCGTTTTGCCCATGTCCGTTTGTTGGTCTGTCTCAAGAACCACTTCAATGATTTTATTGAAACTCTCAGAAAGTAACCACTGGCTGTACAACTACAACAGATTAATGTTTGGAGTAAAACCCAGTTCAAGATGGCTGACTAAGCTAAGAGACCTTATCAAAAACAAAACTGGTTATTATTTAGTCACTTTTACAAATACTGAGGTAAAATTTGATGCAGTTGTAGCTGAAGTTAATTCACAACACATGGTCTGAGCACTCCACGGGAAGCAACATCCATGCTAAGCCTTTCAGGTTAAGTATTGGTGTTCAATCATGTTTGTCTGTTAGCAAAATATCTTCTAAACCACTGGATGGGGTTTGCTGAAACTCTAACAAGGTAATTAGTAGACATACATGTCCATTGTATTAACTTTTGGAGTCAATCCAGTTCACAATGGCTGCCACAGCTGACTGGCTTTAGCAAACACGAAATCTGATATATTCATTCAGTTTTAGATATTGAGCTAAAATTTGGTGTGGTGGCAGCTGAGAGTAATTCTCAACACATATTTTGAGCGATAACGCATCTCACGAAATCTCACAATATTGCATGAGATTGCAAATAAATTTGCTTACAAGGTTTGAACTATACAGCTATAACTCCATTCTTTCTCATCTAAAGATGTTCTCAGCTTAACACTCTGACATAAAGTGCAGCAGGCATTCCTTCAAAGAATGCTAGGCCTTTAATTTCTTTGTGCTTTTAGTGACTCAGACTTTCTTTTATTCTTTTTTAGAAGTCTTGGTTAGTTTTTCAGGTTTTCTGAAAGTCTTTCAAAGCTTTTATTTAAACTTTGTCAGCTATTTAATCATTTTCAGTCCACCTTTTGTACCTGACCATGACAGATTATTGTGCCGTGTGCTTAAATCTGAGAAAAAATAGAGGACTAAAGAAGGAGTGTCACGTCTGGCAGACAATCTGCAGCTGATAAACAGTATCTGAAGGTTATGCATTTAGGAAAAACCAGGGAGAAAGCCCAGCAAAGTCCAAAACATGACCTGAGAGTTATCATCATTCAGGTGTACGCCTAGTTTTCTGCTAATGGCTCTTTTGGAACCAACTTTTAATAAATATAATTTTAACCTGTCAAACTGAGTTATCTTTTATGCTTTTTCATATACCTAAAAAGGTGAATTAATTTGATTTTTAACAGGCTGCTAGCCATAAAGTGCTTAAAGATCCCATTTAAAACTGGTTCTTTGCAAAGTTGACACAACACTAGTTCTTCCCTTAAGTTGTCTGATTGACAAAGTTAAAAGACCTTAAAAGCAAAACAGACAATATACAAGTGTCTTTTTCAAATGGTCAAGTGGAAAAACTGCAATCTTCAAAAAGCCTGAAGAAATACGGCTCAAGTGCCATTTAAAAGTCTCAATAAGCAAAGACACAAAAGGCGACTCAAGACTTTTGCACAGTATAGTCATTTGTGAAACCTTTCACACAAACCAGTGCAGATATGTGGCCTCGAAACGGACCCAGAAAACAACTCAGACATGTATACCCACTGAAAGAACCAGACTTTCTTATCCCAGGAAATGAAAAGCTTGGTCCCAAGATAAATTGCCTCACCTCATGATGTTCTCCACCTGCTCCACACTCAGATCCTCCATCACTTTATCGTTTATCTGCAGCACCTGGTCTCCTGGGTATAAGATCCCATCTGCAGGGCTCCCTACAAATTAAAAATAAAACCTGGCTGCATTTATGAGAACTAAAAGAAGAAGAAACAGATCTTTAGACTCCCCCCCAGCACACGCACAGAGTGACTCATTAAACATGGCCGGCTCAACAGCGTTCAGCTGAGCTCTCCAGGATGTGAGGGGTTACAGTTATTCTGGGTCTCCTCCAGCTCGGCTCGGCTCTGCCTTCTCTGGTTATTTATACTCGTTTGTCTTCAGGCCAGTAAGGGGGAGAGCGCGGCCGACTGAGGCGCAGCAGCTTCAGCTTTCTCTGCACACTGAGCGTATGCACACATCATCACTACACACACATATGCACACATATTTTCACACACGCTGCCTGCGACTCATTTCTGACCCACTGATGGTATGTTTGTGCCCCCCCCCC